CAAGTTGCTCAGGAAAAAAAGCTATAACACATATGTATGTATGTATGTATAAAATGAGAGAGCGAGAAAAACAGGCAAAATGTAACAATAGGTAAATCTCAGTGAGGGTTTGAAATTTATTTTTCCAAAAAAAAATTGTTTTCCTATACAGTCGGAAACCAGAGCTATTGTTTAAGTCACTTTTTAAGTCACTATTAAGTTGTTATTATTATAATGGACCTAGATCCTGTCCCTTCATATGCTTTCATAGCTCTCAAAGCCTTTCCATCACCTCCACCTCTGCTCTCATCTCACCACCCCAGATTTCCGAGGCCCCTCAACCTGTCTCAGCTGCCAGCTGCCGCTTCCATCCGTTCTCCACACAGCAGCCAGAATAACCTACCCAAGGAATAACATGGTCACTCCGCTGCTTAAAAGCTTTCAATGGCTTTCCAGCACCTTTTCTTATCCCTCAAGACCTTTCTGATCCCTGCTTGACTTTTGACCCCTACGCCCACCCCCAACACACACACACACACACACATCCAGCCACACTAAATTGCCAGCAGTTTCTGGCACATTTATTGCTCAGTCTCTCTCAGCACTGGGTCTTAGCACCTGCTCATCCCTTCTCTAGGACATCATCTCAGGTCAGGCTGGTTTCAGCTCCTCCTTCAAGATCCATCCAGCTCTGGACTTCCCTGCTGGCACAGTGGCTAAGACTCCATGCTCCCAATACAGGGGGTCCGGGTTCAATCCCTGGTCAGGGAACTATATTCCAAATGCCACGACTAAAGATTCCACATGCTGCATCTAAGACCCAGAGCAGCCAAATAAATAAATATTTTTAAAAAAACATCTGGCAGAGGGGGCTCCCCCACCCCCCATCTCCCCACTGCCAGTCTCCTCCCGTCTCCTCTCATCTGCTGGAGCCTCTGATTGCCGGAGAGCAAAGGGGCTTAGGGCGTAGAGTAAGACAGAGAGCGAAGAGCCTTGGAGGGGCACACAGAATATCCAGCACAAATGCCAATACTTAAACATTGGGGAAAGTAAGGTGCAGAGAGCCACATAGTGCATGATACTGTTTTCATACAACAAAGTCATTTCCCCCTTATATGTGCCCGTAATATGCTTGTATATGATTGCCTAAGCATGAAGCAAGGTAGGGGATTATACATGTGAGATCGTTAATATTTAGTAGCTGGGCAGAGTAGAAAGGGCAGGAGAGAAAGCAATTTAGAAAATAGGATATTTGCTAATATGAATTCAGAGTAATTTAACACAGGAATAATTGTTTAAGAGCACAAAACTGTAACTTCAAGTGAGATAGATCATTGTAGATGCTGTTTCTAATGGCAAGATTTTGGCAACAACCTAAACATTTGGTTCTAGAGTTGGTTAAAATAATCACGACACAGCCTTTCAAAGAAACACACCCACATTTATGATCAACACAGGTATTTATTACCATGAACAGTGTTTACAAAATATACACAAAATGTCACAGAAAAGTATCAAATGTTTATACATTTTTAGAAAGTTGTCTGGGTGGATATGCCCGAATTGTCCATGGTGGTTTTCTGTGGTTGAAGGATTATGAATGGGTTAGTTTTCTTTACTTTCTTTTTCCTTTTTTCTCTTTTTTTTTCACTTTTAATTATGTGTATTTTTTTCTATATCAACTTGCATTAATTCTGTTACAAAAAACAAAATAAAATATATATCTGAGCTGGTTAAATAGGTGTGGTCAGTTTGTGAAAATTCAGAAAGCCATATACTTTTTGCATTTTTCTGTGTGTATTATTAATCTTTGATAAAAATACTTTCTATCAATATCAAAAAACACACTCATAAAAAATGTTAGGGGCTTCCCTGGTGGCGCAGTGGTTGAGAGTCCGCCTGCCGATGCAGGGGACACGGGTTCGTGCCCCGGTCCGGGAAGATCCCACATGCCGCGGAGCGGCTGGGCCTGTGAGCCATGGCCGCTGAGCCTGCGCGTCTGGAGCCTGTGCTCTGCAACGGGAGACGCCACAGCAGTTAGAGGCCCGCGTACCACAAAAAAAAAAAAGAAAAAAGGAAAGAAAGAAAAATGTTAGAATACAATTCTTTTATTGTGATGAAAGCCACATGACATAAAATTAACCATTTTAAGTGAACAATTCATTTCGTACATTCACAACGTCGTGTAACCACCACCTCTATCTAGTTCCAACACATTCTCATCACCCCAAAAGGAAAACCCCATACCCATTAGAAGTGACTCCCCAGTCCTCCCTCCCCCCAGCCCCTGGCACCCACCAATCTGCATTCTGTCTCTATGGATTTCCCTATTCTGGGTATTTCCTATTAATGGAATTAAAACAATTTTTTGGGGGGGGCACACCGCGAGGCTTGTGGGATCTTAGTTCCCCAACCAAGGACTGAACCCAGGCCCTTGGTAGTGAGAGTGCGGTGTCCTAACCACTGGACAGCCAGGAAATTCCCCAAAACAGAACAATTTTTAAATCAATGGATTTCACATAAAAATTCAAATTTCCAGCTTCTCTTGAACAAAATCTGGCCAAACTAGCCCACATCCCCACAGGGGATAACTGGCTGAAGCTGAGTAATCATCACCCTCGTCGACAAGGCGTGAGCCTACGACTCCACAGTTCCACCCAGCTCTTCTCTCTTCTACGTCACTCTCCTGGCTTCTGGGGCATTTGGGTTTCAAGACCCAGGACTAATGACTACTCAGACACCCCCGCCTTTTTTAAAAAAATAAATTTATTTATTTATTTTTGGCTGCATTGGTTCTTCGTTGCTGTGCGTGGGCTTTTAATTTTATTTATTTTTTATACAGCAGGTTCTTATCAGTTATCTATTTTATACATATTTGTGTACATATGTCAATCCCAATCTCCCAATTCATCTCACCACCACCACCACCACCACCGCTGCTTTCCCCCTTTGGTGTCCATACGTTTGTTCTCTACATCTGTGTCTCCATTTCTGCCCTGCAAACCGGTTCACCCGTACCATTTTCCTAGGTTCCACATATATGCATTAATATACGATATTTGTTTTTCTCTTTCTGACTTACTTCACTCTGTATGAGTCTCTAGATCCATCCACGTTTCTACAAATGACCCAATTTCATTCCTTTTTATGGCTGAGTAATATTCCATTGTATATATGTACCATATCTTCTTTACCCATTTGTCTGTTGATGGGCATTTAGGCTGTTTGCGGGCTTTCTTTAGTTGTCGTGAGCAGGGGCTACTCTTTGTTGCAGTGCGTGGGCTTCTCATTGCAGTGGCTTCTCTTGTTCTGGAGCATGGGGGCTTCAGTAGTTGTGGCAGGCAGGCTCTAGAGCGCAGGCTCAGTAGTTGTGGCGCACGGGCTTAGTTGCTCCGCGGCATGTGGGATCTTCCCGGACCAGGGCTTAAACCCGTGTCCCCTGCATTGGGGGGCAGATTCTTAACCACCGTGCCACCATGGAAGCCCTCAGACTCCTTTCATCTGTAAAAATCTTGAAGATCTCCAGATGCAGGCAGACACACCAGAAAAAAATGAGAAACTTGGACTGGGAGTAGAGGGAATGAATCCCAACTCTACCACTTATAGTATGAGCCACTTAGCTTCTCCAAGCCTCAGTTTCCTTAACTGTAAAATGGGTATAATAATAACACCTACTTCATAGGGCTGTTATATTAAATGCAAAGCATTGGACACATGGTCACTTCTATTCCTGTAGGTACCAAAGACTCATAAGAGTGCTCCCTAATATTCAGAAATGGAAAAAGGGAGTTCAGAGAGGTTAAGCAATATGTTGAAGGCAACACAGCAAATCGAAGGCCAAAGCTAACTCCCCTATTGCCCTTGTGAAGAATGAAAGTCAGTGTTCTGAACTGAAGGGTGTCAGATGTTCAAAAGTTTAGGGACTTTGGATGGTAGGGACACAGGTTCAGTTCGAAAGGGATCAATGGCTGATCTTGAGTAACTGCACCCTGGGCTTATGCAAATAATGGAGCAACTGACGAGATAGTTGTTTGGCCAGAGAGGAAAGAGAAAACCCTTTGATGTGCCCTGGGCCCTGATGTCATAGCAGTTGCTCCTCCTCCAGGGCCACTGATGTCCTCTGCCCTTTCCCCAGTCATGGGGGCCTCCCGCCCCCTAAACCTCAGGCAAGCAGAGCAGAGCAGTTCCTACAGGCTCAGGAGAGCCCACTGTGAATTCTTCAGGAAGTTTGTAAAAAAATTTTTTTAAATACCAGATTACTTAAAATTAAATTACGTATATTAAAAATTACATTAAAAAATTACATTAAAAAGCAGAAAAAATTAATATAAACTTACATCTAAATAAACTATCATGAAAACAAAGGTAATAAATGCTCAAATCTCATCATTTCCTAATTATTTCACTACATTTTAGTACTACCTAGGTTTTTGCCTATTTTTCTGTGTGATATGTTACTACTTATACTGTTCTCAACTCCAAGTTCAAACTGCCTTACGTTGGTAGTTTGAAACTGGCCATAGGGGTACTTATACCACAGAATTCAGCAACTGCTACAAACTAATGCTTAATTGTTGTATTGACTGTCTAGGGCAGGGGTGAGCAAACTATTGGCTCTCTGTCCAAATACGGATGCTTGTCTGTTATTTTGGTTTTTTGCTCACAGCCTGGTTTTTGTTTAATTAATTAATTAATTAATTTTTAATTTATTTTTGGCTGCATTGGGTATTCATTGCTGTGTGCAGGCTTTCTCTAGTTGCGGCAAGCAGGGGCGAGTCTTCGTTGCAGTGCACGGGCTTTTTTTTTTTTTGGCTGTGTTGGGTCTTCACTGCTGCCCGTGAGCTTTCTCTAGTTGCGGCGAGCGGGGGCTACTTTTCATTGCGGTGTGCAGGCTTTTCACTGTGGTGGCTTCTCTTGTTGCAGAGCACGGGTTCTAGGCGTGTGGACTTCAGTAGTTGCAGCACGCGGGCTCAGTAGTTGTGGCTCGAGGGCTCTAGAGCGCAGGCTCAGTAGCTGTGGTGCACAGGCTTAGTTGCTCTGCGGCATGTGGGATGTTCCCGGACCAGGGCTCGAACCCATGTCCCCTGCATTGGGAGGCAGATTCTTAACCACTGAGCTAGCAGGCAAGTCCCGACAATTTATTATTTGGGCAAGTCTTCATCTTCTTGAGTCTCAGTTTCCTCACCTGTAAAATGGGAGAAATAATAGTGAGTTGAGAAGATAAAATAGGCACAGTGCTTGGGAGTGGCACACCCAGTGGGGAGAGGCAGGGGGTGCTGCCCACCCCAGGTGCAGGTAGCAAGGCTGGTCATGGAATGGGTTCTCCAGAAGCAGAGGCTGAGACAGAGTTTGGGGTACAAGATGTTTTTAGGTGTCAACACCAGTGAAATGAAGGGGGGAAGCCAGACTGGGGAGAAGGAGTAGTCAGTGGTGGAGGCCCAACAGGCCTTGGCCAACCCCAACCAGGGGCTCTGGAAACAGACTTGTGGGTCTGAGTTGTCCCCCACTGGGCTGAAAGGGCCACCTTTCCACCCCTGCCTTGTTCAGCCACCAGGTGTGGGCTGCCCTGGGAAGAGGCGACCTCGGGCAAAGTCCGTGCGGCTGCGGGAGATCCCATAGGAGCTGATAGCCAGCCACTCCCCTCATGCCCACCCCCGCACCTGGGCAGCAAGTCCTTCCTTGAAGGGAGGTGGAACAGAATATCTATCTCCATGCCTACCCCAGGGCTGCACTGTCCATAGAGAATTTTAAAATAATAATAAAAACTGCTAGAAGTCTGTTGACTTTATCATTTTGTGCCAGCAAATCTCAACAATATCAATGCCAGTGGCTGAACAGACAACTGCCACTGCCCCCCACCTTGCTTCCTGATATTGAATAAGTGCTCATAGACAGTGTCGTTGTTGTTACTATTATTCTTAGTCTTAGTCTCTTTGTGTTAGTCAGGATTAGTGGTTGTAAATACCAGAAATCCAACTCAAAGTAGCTTAAACAAAGGAAGGGAATTTTTTTTTTTTTTTGGCCATGCCGCACAACATGGGGGACCTTAGCTCCCCAACCAGGGATTGAACCCATGCCCCCCTGCAGTGAAAGCACGGAGTCTTAACCACTGGAGCATCAGGGAAGTCCCAAGGAGGGGAAATTTTGGCTCACCCAGAAGCATGCCTGAAACAGGTCACTCAGATATCAGGAATCTGTCTCCTTCTCTCATCCTTGCTTTTGCTGTGCTGGCTCTATACACAGGCACATTTGCCCTCCATGGAGTCAGACATGGGCACCACAGCACCGTTCAATTAGCTCAGCAAACCCAGAGCTCAGAGAGAGGCTCTTTCTCAAGCAAAAGTCCCAGGGCAAACCCACATTGGCTGGCTGTGGTCAGGCACCCAAACCTGAACCAATCACAGAGATTCTCATTGGCCAGTCTTGGCTCACATGCCCCCAAACCACATGGACAGAGAAGGGAAAGGGATGGTTCCTCAAAGGAAAAGTGAGATGCTGTAGTTAAAGGAGGAATGGATGCTGGAGAGGCAAAACCAACAAAATCCAGGACACTGCTCAATGCCCCAAAGCCAAGCACAGAAGACAGCCTTCTGTCCTGGGCACATCAGACGCTGGGCACCCATTGCTTACACAGTTTGGGACACTGAGACTCAGAGAGGAGCTGGAAGTGGCCCAAGATCACATTGTCTCCAGAGCCCAGGGATCCCGTATCCCATGCCATCAACTCTCTGGACCCTCCAGGCCACCACTGATGCCTGGTGATACAGCTGCCTGTCACCCCAAAGCTCAGGCACGTGGGCTCTGTGCCCCAGGAGATAAGAACCAGACCCACCCAGCTGGCCCTGCCCCACTGCACTAGCCCTGATAACAGCTGGGCACCCTGGCCAGCCCTCACACCCTCTGTTCCCCAACTGTTATTTCAGCCCTGTTGGGGAGTCTGTGGAGCCTGACAGAGGATGGGGAGGTTCTATCCACGGGCTTGTGCCTCTGAATCCTCATTAGTTCTGTCTGTTTGGGAGTCTGGAGTTGTAGATTCTAGGAAACAGGGCGCAGGGCTGTTTAACTGTTTGGAGGTCCAATTTTCAAATGTAAAAAAAGCCTTTTGGTTTATTTATGTTCCTCAAATATAATAAAGAATCACAAATAGGCCACTGGGCCACTCCAGTCCAAGCACAGCAGCTATCCACAGCTTTTCCCTGTGCTGACCTTGAGCAGAAGCCTTTAAAGTCCTGATGATGTTGCAACTCTGCTATAAAATCTTCAAAAGCTCTTCATTCTCTCAAAGATAAAGCCCAAGCCCCCTAACCTGATATTTGAGACCCTCCCACATTCCTTATAATAATAAGCATAATCAGTAACTGTTAATTGAGTCTATCGTGTGCCAGGCATCAAGCAAAGCACTTTACGTACACTAGCTCAGATGATCCTCGTAACAACCCTATGAGGGAGGTACTACTATAATTCCCATTTTACAGATGAGGAAACTGAGGCTCAGAGAGGTGAAGTGACTTGCCCAAGATTGCTCAGCAGGAGTCCCCACCTCTGCCTACACCAGGGCTTTGCTCCCCGCTAGCCTGTCCACAGAGCCCCCCTGCAGGCCTGCAGTGCTCCTACCTCCCTCATATCCCCTCCCTGCACCCCCGCCAAGCCAACCCTTTCCAGTCAGCCACACGCCAAAGGAAGAGGAAGTTTCTCCAGGGTCCAGGAGGCTGGTTTGCTCCTGCTGCTTGAAAATGGGATCAGGGGTCATTCCCAAAGCATTTTCCAAAAACGACGACAGCATGGTGGGAAGTGGCTAGCATATAGACTTTGGAGAGAGTCAGGCTTGGGTTCAATTCTCAGTTCTGTCACTTTTTAGTTGTGGTCTGAAGGACACGCCTGTAAACCTCCATTTTCCAATCTGTAAAATGGGGATGATAGCCCCTACCTCACAGGGTTGTTAGAGGATTTAATAATTAAAGGGCATAGGGACTTCCCTGGTGGCACAGTGGTTAAGGATCTGCCTGCCAATGCAGGAGACACGGGTTCGAGCCCTGGTCCGGGAAGATCCCACGTGCCATGGAGCAACTAAGCCCGTGTGCCACAACTACTGAGCCTGAGCTCCAGAGCCCGCAAGCCACAACTACTGAGCCCGTGTGCCACAACTCTGAAGCCTGCGCACCTAGAGCCCGTGCTCCACAACAAGAGGAGCCACCGCAATGAGAAGCCCACACACCGCAACAAAGAGTAGCCCCTGCTCGCCACAACTAGAGAAAGCTCACGCACAGCAACGAAGACCCAACGCAGCCAAATATAAATAAATAAATCCATTTAAAAAAAAAAAAAGAAGAAGAATCTGCCTGCCAATGCAGGGGACACAGGTTTGAGCCCTGATCCAGGAAGATCCCACATGCTGTGGAGCAACTAAGCCCGTGCGCCACAACTACTGAGCCAACGCACCACAACAAGGAGTAGCCCTCGCTAGCCACAACTAAAGAAAGCCCACGCTCAGCAACGAAGACCCAACGCAGCCAAAAATAAATAAATTTATTTATAAAAAATAAATAAAATAAAAATAAAGGACACAGCACTTAGCATGCTTAGTCCAGTGCCTGGCACATAAAACAAAGCGACCAGAAAATCTGAGTTTTTGTTGTTCTTATTATTATCTTTTTTAAAGTGCTCTGCTTCCAGAGGTGACAATTTGAGACAGATCACACTCCTTCAGCTGAAGATCTTTTAAGTTAAAAAATCAGCCCCCCTCCTTAGATACAACACCAAAAGAAAAAATAGATAAGTCAGACTTCACCAAAATTAAAAAAAATTGTGCTGCCCATGATTCCAGCAAGAAAGTGAAAAGACAACCCACAGAATGGGAAAAAATATTTGCAAATCATATATTTGACAAGGGACTTGATTCCTGAAAAGGGAATACATAAGGAACCATTACAACTCAGTAGTAAAAAGACAAATAATACAATTAAAAGGTAGGCAAAGGATATGAGCAGATATTCCTCCAAAGTAGGTATGCAAATTAAAAATAAGCACATAATAATCAACATCGTTAGCCATTAGGTAAATGCAAATCAAAACCACAATGAGGGGACTTCCCTGGCGGTCCAGTGGTTAGGACTCCGCACTTCCACTGCAGGGGGCATGGATTTGATCCCTGCTCGGGGAACTAAGATCTCACAAGACGTGCAGTGTCGGGGGTAAGGGGTGGGGGAGACCACTTCAATAAGAGATGCAACAGCTAGAATAAAAAAGGTAGATGACAACAACTGTTAGCAGAGGATGTGGGGAAATTGGAACTCTCATGCATTGCTGGTGGGAATGTAAAGTGGTGCAGCCGCTGTAGAAAACAATCTGGCAGCTCCTCAAAATGTTCAACACAGACTTACTCTATGACCCAACAATTCCACTCCTAGGTATATCCACAAGAGAAATGAGAACGTATGTCCACACAAAAACTCGTATGCTAACAGTCCTAGCAGCATTATTCATGATAGCCAAAAATCAACTCACCAATTGATGAATATGGATAAACAAAAATGTGGTATATGCATATGATGGAATAGTCAACCATAAAAAGAAATGAAGAACTGGCACAGGCTACAACATGGATGCACTTTGAAAATATTGTGCTGAGTGAAAGAAGCCAGTCACATAGGACCACATATTGCATGAGTCCATTTATATAAAATGTTCAGAATAGACAAATTCATACAGACGGAAAGCTGATTAGTGGTCGTCTAGGGTTAGAGGGCAGGGAAACTGGAGAGTGACAGCTAAGGGGTATAGGATTTCTTCTGGGGGATACGGAGAATGTTCTGGAAGTAGGTAGTATTGATGCTTGCAGAACATTGTGAATATATTGTCACTGATAGTAAATTTTACATTATGTGTATTGCACCACAATAGTTTTCTTTATTGAAAGATAATATCCATCCTGAAAGTACACAAATCTTAGGCACACACATCTCCATGAATGTTCACAAAGTGAACACACTTTGTAATCAATATTCCCAGCACCCTAGAAACCCTCATTGTGACCCTTGTGGTCACTGTCCTCTAAAAGGGCTTTAAGGGAGTTCCCTGGCGGTCCAGTGGGTGAGACTCCGCACTCCCAATGCAGGGGGCCCGAGTTCGATCCCTGGTTGGGGAACTAGATCCCACATGCCACAACTAAAGATCCCGCATGCTGCA